CTGGGAGCGGAAATCTGGGTTTGTTGCAGCGGTTCAGGCCCTGGAGGGTTGGTGCAGACACGAGAGCCAAGAGCAAACCCCCCTCTGGGCACACCTGGAGCATCCTCATGAACAAGGGAGGAGGGCAAGACCCATGGGCTTTGGACCAACTTCATTAACTGCGGGGCAAAACCCGCCCTGTCTCTGTGGGGTTTGTGGCTTGGCTTCAGCTTCTCATTCCCACGTCTTTGCTCCCAGTTTTTCAGGGATCTCCAGGTCCTGAAAGTGACACCAGAGTTGAGAGCCAGGCCAGGAACCAGAGGGAGCAATGCATCTTCCCATCCCTGTTGTGGTACTTCTGCCAGCCCCAGGGGCAGAGCCCCCCAGGTGAGCCCCCTTCCCACATGGTTCTGCTGGGAGAGGCTCAGGTGGGACCTCGGGGGGCTCCTCCTGCGAGGAGACCCTGCACTGAGGGTTCTTTGGCAAAAAGGAGCATTTTTAAGGAAGAATTCTCTTTTCCGTGCGATTTTTGGCGGTCCCACCTCCCCGGAGGAGCATGGTCAGCCCAAGGGGGGATGTTTCTCACCACCCTTCCTGCACCCCAACCACTTGCTCTGCCCTCATGGTCACCCAACTTCTTCCTCCTCCTCTTCTCCCCCCTCCTCTCCCTCCTCCTCCTCCTCCATGGTGGCAGAGCAGAAAAACCACAAGGGTGGGAAATGACTCGAGGGTTTGGTGCCTTTCATTTGGGGGGGACAGGGAAGACCTTGCTCACCTTTGGGGTGTCTCATTCATGGCCTTTCCTCCTCTCCAGCCCCTGCTGGCTGCAAGCTGTGCCCCCAGGACTGGCAGCTCCGTGGGGAGAGATGCTACTGGCTCTCCAAGGAATCGGGGAACTGGACTCGGGGCAGGAAAAGCTGCGAAGATCAGGGCTCCGAGCTGGTGGTGCTCAAGAACGAGACAGAAATGGTAAACAGGAAGGAGAAGGCTTAGAAAGGACCCAGAAGTCCTGGGTTTTTAGGGAGGGGGGCAGGGGAGCAAAATGCTCCCAGTAGCAGGAGGGTTTCGGGTTCAGAGCATGGGGCCGCTCATGTCCCATGGGTTTTGGCGGTCAGGTTTGTTCTGTGGCTTTGCACCCCACGGAACTCCACATGGAGAGATTTTTTTGGAGCAACCGGTCCCTTCCATGTCCCAGGAGAACGTCGAGAGTGTCACAAGTAGGATCTCGTGGTCGGTGTGGGTCGGGTTGAGGTCGCGGCAGAAGGAGTGGACGTGGGTGGATGACACCCCCTACGACCCCCACAGGTGAGTGTCCGAGGTCTGGGGGGGTAAAAAGCTGCTTTGGTCCATTTGAGACCCCGATCCACGTCCACACATCGCTGGGGGCCATGCAAGGGTCTCTTATTCCTCTGGCAGCACTCTGCAGACCAAGAGTCGGGGTCATGGGACACACTGGGGTCATGGGGCATGTTGGGGTTGGTTATGGGGCATGTTGGGGTTGGTTATGGGGCATGTTGGGGTTGGTTATGAGGCACATTGGGGTCATGGGACACTTTGCTCCTCTCAGCCAATAAACCCTTCATCGTGTAGGTTTGGGGTCCTGCAGGAGCCGGACAAAGGGTTCTGTGGGACCCTGAAAGGCAAGAACTTGGAGGTTGATGGCTGTGCCAGTGACCACACGTGGGTTTGCCAAAAAGCCCCTTTCCAGCTCTCCTCGCCCATGGTTGGGAAGCTGGATGATGCCTCCACCTGACACACTCGGGCACGGACCTCGTGTGGTACAAAAAAAAAATTTATTACAATTTTTTCATGGTTTATCCACCTCATTACATCAGCAGTAAATTCCTGTTAGTGACTTTTCTCTATATCTACTTTTTAGTTAAACATTCTCTGCACAGGAGAAAAATACTCCCAAGCAATTTCACACACACACGGATTTATCACCACATCTGCATTTATCTTGCAAGTTCCCCTTAAGTTTCTCCCAGAGTCACATAATCTCGGTCCCTACACTTAAGTGTTATTTTTATGCTTTTATATTACTGTAGATAATAATAAGCCAAGCAGCTCCATCCCTGCTTTCCTTTGCAACCAAACTGTCCTAAAATAAACACACATATTCCAACACCCGCCCCTTCGGTGTCTTCGCTCTAAACCCACCCCATGGGAGTGACGGCTCAAAGAGCCATTTAGCCC